TAGTGTAGGGTTTCTTTGTTTTGGGTACTTTCATTTAATGCATTGATATTCAATTTTTATTTGTAAACTCATCAGAAAATTATTGTCAAATGATCACAAATATATAAAATGAATTTGATGCCTAAATTCGATGGGGAAAAAAGAACTCAAAAATTAATTTTTAAAGAAAAAAGTATAAACCGCAAACCGCCCGCACATTTGTAAACCCTATCTGCACAAACCGCAAACCGTACTGCGGGCAGTTGCGGGTTGACTTTTTTCCAAACCATATAGATGCAGATGGGTCAAAATTAAACCACAAACCGCACAAAATCGATCCGCGAACAACCCTACCAAATGCCATGCACACTCAATAAAATAGATTTTTTACTAATTTTTTTATTATATATATAATACAATAAATAATGATAATAATAAACTTTTGTTATCAATCAGGGATCATCTAGAAGGTATAGCGCTAAAGCTACTCTAGTATTATATACCGTAGAGTTTCCCAATATAGTCTCTGGTTCACCAAAGGAAAATTATTAGGTATTTTCAGAATGTTATGTATTCTTATTTTTTCATTAATTATCACTCATCATATATTTTTACATTTCTCAATCACTTAGCATAAAAAATAAAATAACCTATCATATATATATATAGATAAAAGAAACGACAAAACTAATGTTCCAAATCAAATATGGTATTTTGATTAATAACAAGGCCAAAGCGTGGCCATTAAAATATACAAAAGCCATAGAATCTATTACACTTTATAATAATAATTGTGATAGTTACAATAAATAAAATAAAAACACGTGATTCAAATGTATAAAACTTTGATCCGTATGATATGAACTGTCACAGAATCTCCAAAAACACAGAAAACAATACACGGTGATAATATATATATATATATATAAAATAGCTTCTCACTAATGAATGAAATCCCAGGTCCTCCAATTCCAATATATATAGAAAAATCATAAACTTGTAATCACAGTCACAAAAAAAACTATATCACATTTCATTCTCTATATCCAAAATGTATGAACAATCCATCTCAGATTCCGACGTTGCTCTTCTCGAATCGATCAGCAGGCATCTCCTCGACGATGCCGACATCTCAGAAATTTTTCCGATGATGGTTCCATGCATTGCACCACCGGTCAATGATCTGAGTTCGAGTTTTGCTGCATGGCAAGCAATGCCATTAAATGGGTCGTCGGAGATGATGATCGAGTTTGGAGCGAAGGATGTTACGGAGGAGGAAGTGGTGGCGCGTGGTGATCACGTGCCTCGGGAGTGGAGGAGGTATAGAGGTGTAAGGCGGCGGCCGTGGGGGAAGTTTGCGGCGGAGATAAGGGACCCTAAAAAAAAGGGTTCTAGAGTTTGGCTCGGGACATACGAGACACCTGAGGATGCTGCATTGGCTTATGACCAAGCTGCTTTTAAAATGCGGGGTTCAAGTGCTAAGGTTAATTTTCCGCACCTTATTGGCTCAGATGACTTGGAGCCGGTTAAAGTGAATCCGAGGCAGCGGCGGTCTCCAGAGGCTTCAACTTCATCTTCTTCGTGGGAAAATGAATCCCCAAAGCGGAGGAAATGCGTGGTTGGCCAAGTGTTGGTAGTTAAACCCGAGTTGGATACTAATAGTGTTTGAAATTCACCAATAAAAATTTAATGTAACAGTGATACATATTATGTTGGATGCATTGAAATTTTTTTTTCCTTTTCAAATTGGCCGCATCAGAAAGTTGTAAATTGTGAGCAGATTGCAGGCATTGTACTTTGCTTCAAGTTTGGAGAGCTTACAAGAAATAGACACTTTCAAAAGGATCGGTCTCTGATTCACATTTGTGAGACAGTTAAATTTGCTTACCTTTTTCATCTTATTTTGTAAAAGAAAAAAAAATGCTTATAATATGATTTTTCTCCAGCGATTTTAAAAATTATATCTCACATTTTTAAGTTTTAATTTCATAGCAAATGATGCTTTTTATTAATAAATCATTAAGCCAATTAACAGTTTTTAATGATGTTAGAAATTTATTTCAATTAATAATTCAAATAATTTTATCATTGCACACGAGAACAGTTAAAAATTTTATTTTTTGTAGTTTGGGTAGGGGATAAGCTCTCCCTCATACCTTATCTCTCTATATCTCTTTGTATTTTTTTTTATAGGTTTCATCCGAACCCGTATCGATAATCCGAACCGTTTATCTCGTAGGCCCAACAATAAAGGTCATCCATACAAAAAATTAACTTTATTAGAAAATTATAAATACAAAAAAAAAATTTGTTTTATAAAATGAATGGAAAATATAACATTAAATTTAAATAATCTATTTTACAAAACAAAATGCGATTTATTTCCATATTTATAATTGTCGGATGAAGCTGATATTTTGTATGGATGACCTTCATTGCGGGGATTACGAGATAGCAGTTCGGATCATCAGTATAGGTCCGAATTAAAACCCATAAAAGGAGTATGGAAAGGTATAAAGAGATGAGGTATGGAGAAGAGCTTATCCCGGTAAAAAGAAAGGTCTAAGAAATAATTTTCATTTTTAGTTAAGATCTCTTAGTATTATTATTTTAGTAGTTTAGGTCGTTCATCCTATCTTTTATATTGTTTAAGTGATTTTAAAGTTTAATAAATTTTGATTTAAATCTTTATTTTATTTTTTTTATAAAATTTATATTTTTAGAATTCTATTGATAAGATCTTTCAAACAAAATACATGAGTAATATGAAATTCTAAAAAAAAGATATTCATAAAATTTCACTGACTTAGTCATCGAAATTTCACTAACCAATTGAAATTCATTGATCTAGGCCAGTGAAATTTTATTGACTTGGTTATTGAAATTTTAAAATTTCACTGACTTAAACAAGTTTTCTTATCAAAATTTCATTGATTTTGACTGACTTAGTCATCAAAATTTCACCAATCAACTAAAATTTCACTGAACTAGGCTAGGTCAATGAAATTTCAATGACTTCACTAATTTGGTCATCAAAATTTCACTAAATCAGACTTGGTCATCGAAATTTCACTGACTTGTCTTAAGTTAGTGAAATTGCGTCATTTTGTTTTTTAGAATTGTGTATTCATCATGATTGTTGTTTTACAAATCTTGACGAAACGATTTCAAAAACACAAATTTTATAAATTAAAAAAAAAAAGAGATTTAAAGGATATTTGAGATGATCTAAATAAGTATATTTTTTGAATTTTTATGAAAAGATGTACAAACAAAGTAGAGAGGTAATGTGATTCAAAAAAAGATAAAAAAAATGTACTAATAAAAGAGATGCCAAACAGTGTCTGTAGCTGGTTTTTCGTACTCCTCGGAGGGGTTTAGTCTCCTCGGGCACGATTTTCCTACAGTTCAGACTCTCGTAGTTCTGAATCTGGTTTCAAAAGTGCAATGTAAAATAGAAAAAATGAATGAGAGTTCAGATCCCGCAAATCTTAGAAAATCCATTAATCATCAGAGATGTCAAAAATGGACTGCATTGCTAGATTTCAGAGTTGCTACCTATTATTTTTGGGAGAATTAGAAAACCCGTGACTTGTGTCAAAGGCTACTTGTCCGTCATAACCAAAGTTGTCTCGGCTTAGGAACTTAGGTATAAGAGGAAAAGATCATGAATTGAGTACCTCACTTACCCGATCAAAGACGGCCTTCACTAATTCATGATGTGAGTTTTGTGGACATTATATGCTCATATTTTGATTATTTAATATACTAACATTATTATGTAAAACAAATAAGTATAGATTATATCATTTACTTTGGAATGTTTTAATTTTATGCTTTCTTGAAAAGAGTTTTCAAATATGTGCAACTCAAAGAAAAAGCGAGCTCATATGTACAATAACCGAAGTCATTCCAATATAAGTAAAATGGCCTCCATCCATAGACATTCAGAGATATTTCAAGTAAGCGAATAGTCTCATGGTAGTATGCTTAACATGGTAACAATCACACATATAATATGCTAAAACGAAAATGCTTACCCAAAACTCGACTGAAGCAAGCCCAAGAAAATAAGATAGTTAGAGAAAATGCACGATCTTACAAATGCACATAACTAATGCAACACACACAAAATGCAACTACTTGATTCGGCTATGAACATGTCGTATGGATCCACTTTTTATTAGGACTTATTAAATAAAATATTCATGTAAATAAATAAATAAATAAATAAATAAGGCTTGGTTTGGCATAAACTATAAAAGTCAAAAAGTTAACACTATTCACTAAAAAAAATATTAAAAAAATAATATCCACATAATAATACAAATAAAAAAAATACAATTAAAAAAAGTACTGACGTGATGGGCCCGTCAGTGACTGGAAAAAAAAAATAGGGAGTAAAATATTCATTGAATTGGATGCTAGAGCTGGGCCTGTGGGGGCCCACCATGGGTCCCGTTTTGGTAATCTGGACCGTTCAATATGTAGAACTCGTCTATTACTATATGCCTATAAAAAATCATGTCTATCGGATATCGTTAAATATATGATCAAATCAGCTTTGTATAAAAATAGATGGTGTTATAGTTAACAGTTAACAAAAATTACTAACACGATCAGATAGCTATCGATATCCAATCAACGTGATTTTTTACAAGCATATAGTATTCGACGAGTTCTACACATTGAACGGTTCCGATTAGTAAAACGGGACCCGTGGTGGGCCCCCATGGGCCGAACAAAATCGACCAATTTATGCCCGAAAAGTAGAGAATCAATCTCCTACACACCCTCTATAGCGCTGCTTCCAACCGTACAGTCTATACCACTATTTTATTCCCTATACACTTATTTATATAATTTTTTAATACACATTTTTTTATAAAAAGTTAAAAAATTAACCAAAACAACTATATTTTTTTCCTTAACTTTTTAATCTAAAAAAATAAAAAATACACTTATTTAAGACATTCCAAACATCTCCTGAACAAGATATTAAAATAGTCCACCAAAACAAAGAAAGCATGTAGAAATATCACATCACTGAAATGTTGAGAGAGTAATGGTAAATCAATGAAAAATTTCATACATATTAACCATTAAAATTATAATTTATTTTTATAAATATATATATATATATATATATATACACAGAGGAACTACATTGAGCATGTTGTGACCGTTATTGGCGAGTCATCACCGCTACACACTAAGTCGTAACTCGAAGTCAACCCCCCCTGAATCCCCCTAATTTAAAAAACGACGTCGTTTTTCCATTTTTTTTTTCTGGGTTGAATCAGAAACGAAGAAGAAGAAGGGAGAAGAAGAAAAAGAAGAAGAAGAAGGGAAGGGAGAAGGGAGAACTAGACAGGAGGGGGCATAAACCAGGGGCGGAGGCGCGGCGGAGGCCGAGCTGCTGCGATGATCGGCGAGCTGCTGCGACGATCAGCGATCGGTCGAGCTTCTCTCCCCCTCTCTCTCTCTCTCTCTGTTTCCCTCTCTCCTTTCCTCTCTCTTTCTCCCTCTCTCTCTCTCTCTCTCTCTCTCTCGCCTTCACCCTCTTTTCTCCCTCTATTTTCCTCTATTTCCATTTTCGGGGGATTCGGAGAGCTCATTCGAACTCCCAAGCTTTATCCCTTTAGTTTATCAGTGAATAATAAATACACGACGTTGATGATGATGACTGTGTATGATTGTACATAATTTTAGTCATAAAAGTGATGACTGTGTATGATTGTACATAATTTTAGTCATAAAAGTCACGTCTTGTAATAATTTTTTTTCTTTTTTCTTTTTAATATGGCGAACAATTTGAATTAGAGACTCCTGATAAAGCCAA